ACTTAGTCATAATAATTTTTTATCTTAAATTAAATAATAAAAATTATATTATATACAACAATAATATCAAGTTTTTGTACCACTACGTGGAATCTGAATCTGCTATCTGAATCCTTTTTTGTCATTGTGTCCTAATAAAAATTATATTATATAAATATAATTAATATTAAATTAAATAATTTAAATTTATTATTTATTTTACATTAATGACTTACGCGAAGTCATGACGCGGTTTTTATCTACAAAATTCTAGACGAGTCCAATCCAATGTGCACCGACACAGAAAAACTAAATCACAACCGTCAATTTCAAATAACCAGCAACACGTGTTCAGTCTAGATCGGACGATTGAGAAACGAGGGAAATATAAATAATTAATTTTATTTAAAACGAGCCGGCTGGTGCCCAACAGGACCGCACGTGATGGGTGGAGCAAGATCTGTGCCGTCCATCGCACGTGAGACACGGTTTCTGGCCGTCTGGATCGCGTTCCGGCACACACGCGTCCACGTGTTGAGAGGGCAATTAAATATTTGTTTATTTTTTAATGAATTTTTTATTTTTATTTTCTCTAGACAGTTTCAGGAATTTGCGCGTTCACTTCTGTTTTTTATTTTATTTGTGTTTTTCCGAATTCTGACAAAACACTTTTTTTTCCTTCTAAAAGTCAACTCTATGAGAAAAAAAGGTTAAATATTTTGATTTATCCACGCATGCTTAGTTTGGTTGGTGGGCGAGTATTATTGAGAACCTCCTAATCCGTGCTAGATTCACCTCGAGCGACAACGCCGCTTAAGTGGGGCCGATCAAGTACATGATATGAGGTTTTTGGAATGGATGCCTCTTTTATGTCAGACGAAGATTAGTCATGCCGTCAAGCGCCTTTTCAAATGTGACAACAGTTGGATACCACATTCCATATATATTTATATATAGAAAATTTTACTTTATATCTGTGGACGTGATTCATTACATATGATACCTAAGGCTATATTAATTTTAATGTAAATTCAAAAATTTGTAAACCCGTTCTGATGTGCGTCACATTAAAGATCTGTTTGGGAAGAGATTATTACGTAAGAAGTCTGGAATAGCTTTTCGTCTGGACTCCAGTAAGGTGAATCCATGTAGTTGTTTATTGAATTCTCTCTCTTATACACACTGTGTATAAGAGAAAAACTAAGTCATGTGGCTCCACATTTTTGGAGTCGCGACGAAATCTAGACTCTAAACGTAATAATTTTCATGTTTGAGATGCTTGCACCATTTTATATACTTTGCAGCGTTGTTGTGTAGAAAATGACATTTTACTATTGTTGCTGAAAGCGGTTTTTTATCATAGAAATTTTTTAAAAGCTTACTAAATTTTAAATTGCTATCTGAAAAGTAAAAAAAAAAAAAGCTGACTCAAATAGACCTTTAAGATATCTTGATTCAATTTCTTTAGCATATAATTGGAAAAAATTTCCAATATTTTCTTTCTTTAAGAAATATGTTAGAAATTTTTTTTTTGGATGATAATTTTTGTCTTGATTATATATTAATTTTTAAGTATTTTTATAATATTATTATAGACTTTAGGGTACATTTTTTTAATATCTGTGTGTTATCTCCACATCTAAATTTCATAATTTCAAATATTTTAATTGTAATAAAAATAATTTATGTTAATTTTAATGATTTTTTGTTACATATTAGATTAGGATATCCTAACTCAAAATTTTTGTGTGAATAATGTGGTTATTTACAAATCAAAATAATTTTAATAATATAATATAATTACACTCTCCAAATAAATTAACCTAAAAATTTATTTAGGCCCATTTTATTATGTGGACAAATCAAAATGAATTACAAAAAATTTAGACATCTTTAGCATTAATTTCTCATAATAATACTAATAAATATATATATATATTTGTAGGAACCTTAATTATTTTTTTATACTGCTAGATGCCCCGAAATAAATCTAAATAAAAAATATATTTAGTTTTGTCGTATGTAAGAAATTTGTGATAGTGGGAAGAAAAAGAGTTTATTGTCTTAGCATCATATGAAGATGAATAACGTACAAATACGATAAGTCGAGCTGCTCATGGGAGATGAAAGATTTTTATGTAAAAACTTATGAAGAGGAAAAATCTCAAAGTTTAATCCAATTAAAATTATTCTATGTGTGTATAAATTACAAATGATTTCCGTCCTCGTGATTAAGGGCGGAACTACTCATTATTTTAGGATGGTCAAACTCATTACAAAAGAACTATATATATAATTCAAAGTAAAATCTTATATTTCATTATAATCAATGAATTGAGCAATACTTACAAGCTTCTCAACCTATTTGTTATTTTTTGATAATATTGCATTATGATTTTTAAATGAGTTTCTCGAATTATATCCCTTTTGTTGATATCCTAAGTCTAAATCGAAGGTCGAAGCCAAGGTCAATAGAAAGACTGTCAATATAAATCTCTCCTTACTCTTTCCTCTTCAAATATCAATCAATTTATTAAACCCTAAAAAAGTTCTAAATTTAACATAAAAAACTGGGAATCACTTATCGAATATCTATAACATGAACATTAATATGAAGTGAGCTAGATAAGTAAAAGATTAAAAAAATAGCATGAAATCAGGAATAATTTTTGATAAATCAATGTTGTTAGAACCAAATTAATTGTCCTACCTCAAACAACACTCATAAATTAGTATCATAGGTCTTTTTTTCTAGTTTATCTTAACTTCTTGTTATTCTATTATCTCAATTTATTCTCTCTTTTTTTTAAAAGGCTTATTAATAGCTTTAAGTCTTTATTGAAAATATGGTAAAAGTGAATAAGAAATAACAAATTTCTTATGCTATCACCTTAAGAGAATACTTAGGAATTTTCTATGTGGAGGAAAAAAATCTTGATCAATGTAGGAGTTTGTCAAAATGGTTGGAGCTTCTTTTTTCTCTAAAATATGGGTAAAATGGGATTTTGATGGCAAAATTAACTTAAAAATCTTTTTTATTTATTAAAATTATATTTTGGAGGGTGGGCAACCCACCCTCAAGTAAGGCTTCGTTTGTGACAACTTTTGGCTACTAGTTTTTCATAGCTTTCAAGGAATTTTTTGTACTAGAAAATTGTTGTAGAAAGCAGTCCCAAATGAAATTTAAGTGTGATTCTGCCCATGCTCGTAATTGAGGAAGGAATTAATGCAATATAGTAGCCATGAACTACAAATGATTGACTCTAATATGAAAGTTGGAGGTGCCTTGGGCACGACAATTATCTTCAAGAGATTATTTGCTATTTGTTATGTCGTTACATTTGAGGAGATAGAGGGCATCGTCTTTATTGGCAATAACATGCATCAATGTTGTTGGCAACGTCAAGCAATAAAGTTGGAAAGCATCAATATTTGTGTTAATGACGTGCATCAACTTTATTGTTGATGATGTGCATCAAAGTTATTGAGGTTGGTAGGTGATGATAGCATGGCATAGGCGTTTTGTGTTCAAGGCATGAATCAACGTTGTTGGCAACAATAAGTGAAAAAATGAACATGTGTCATCATTTATTTTGATAGCATTTAACAACCTTATAGGTGATAGCATGTGTCGATAATGTTGGCAATTGTAAGTGATGAAATATATGGGATTCAATGTCTGTGTCAATAAATTGCATCAACCTTATTAGCATTTGCATGGGTCGATATTATTTGTAACATTGGGCTTTTGCATTTTGTTAACGGTATGCATTAGTTTCATAGGTGATAATGTGCATCGATATTGTTGGTGATAGCATATGAGAAATTCAACAGGTGTCAAAGGTTGATCAATGGTAATCGTTAGATCTTAATCTAGTAATGGTGGTCAGGTAATCCTAATCAAACGATGGTGATCAAGTGATGTCAAATAGGTGAATGTTACTGGAACGACTATATAGTTTTTTAAATTTCCAAGCGCTCTTCAAATTTAAGTTCAAATTCAAATTTCCTTTCATGTGGAAAATGTGTTCAATTATAATTTTTTATAATGACTTTTTTATTATTTTGACCAATGTCCATTGGCCAACCCTTGCTGATTCTTTTGATTATAACATGTTCTCACTTTTTAAATATCTTAATAACCTAAAAATTGCATGGTCATGAGCTCATTGGATTCTCTCATTCAGATGCTCATTTGGATGGCAAGCATATAATATTTGAGAATTAATTAGTTCATCAATTAATATCACAAAATTTGCAATTATTCTTAAAGTACTTATTTTGATCTTATTTGGCTTCGTTTGAGACATATTTCTTATTGTTTTCTAAAGCAACTTTTTAGTATAAAAATTTGAAGTTTTAAAAATTTTTATATAAAAAATTTGTTTAAAAAAACAATGAGAAAATCATCCCGAACAAAACCTTTGACTCTAATTATAGCACTTTTGGTATCATTAAATTTATATCATTGAGGCATTTTATTCAAAAGTTAGCTAAAATTAGAACTCGAATCAGCCTAACCCTACATCCAAAATTCTTAAATTCAAATATTATATTGAGATTCATGCTTGCTCTTATAAATTTTTAGATAACTATATCACCCATGAATCAAAATATATCATAAAAATAATGTAGCAATAGAATTGTTTAAATCATAAGAATTTTTAGCCTCATAAATTTTAATCCCAATTTATAAAAAAAAACCACTAAAATTTTTTCTAATCAAACATTTTGAGAAAGCAAGTAGCTAATAATAAATACTTAACCAAGTAACCATTAAAAAAAATTACAATTCAAAGTTCTAACAGCTTCAATTTAAGGCTTCGTTTGAGACAACTTTTTTTCTGCTTCTTAAATCAACTTTTTGAGTTAAAAAAATCTATTTTAAGAATAAAAAAAAAAACCCGTAAAAAAAAACAAGGAGAAAAACATCAATGGCCAATAATTGCTGCCAATTTCTACACCTCTTTTAAACCATCCAATTTTACAGAATTTTTACAGTAGAAATCAAATATTTATACCATTAAATAGAGTTATTGAATAGAATTAGTATGACTAAAATAGATCACAAGCTAAGATCAACTGTAAAATATTCAAAAACTACAATAAACAAGAATTTGATGAGAGAATCCATCACATATAAACCATATATAGGATTAAACATCAAAAGTGTTCTCCTAAGAAGCCTGGAAAGGCGGCTTTCGAACGGCTCGGAGTTGCGGCGAGTTCTCGAAGCAATGGTGGAAGCCATAGTGAGGGTATCTCTCATACCATGTATCCTGCTGCACATGAGTATCCCAGTGCTCACCTGAGCTGCTCTTCCCATATTTGTGCACCCAACCAGTTCCATTGTGCTGCTCTCCCCATGTTCGGTTCCACCGATCCCGATTGCTTCCTTCCCACCATGTCTCCCCTTGCTTTACGCCGTGTCCGTCAGGATCGAAGTGCTCGTCCCATTTGTCTCCCCATTTTGACCAGCCATCATCGCCTTCCGATCGCTCGGCCCATTTGTCGGTGTACTTTATACTACCTCCTTTGCCATCATAATTCTCACCCCACCTGGAAGCACAAGAACAAGTAGGCAAACCATCTGTAATTCATCATCACATATTTGGGATAAAAATTTTAGATCAGCTTTGAGTGCAATATATAGATAATCTGTTAGATTGGACCGGTCTAGCTGGTCCTGGCCCAAGCGCGAATGAGGCGAAAATTCTCCGCCTCCTACTCTAGCTGCAAGATCCACGGGAGCCAATTTGGAAGGATTTTTGAGGGATGCGGGAGGGAAATTTGAAAGTAGGGAATGTTTAGGGATTTCCTCTTGATTTGTATGCATTAAATACTTTGTTTTCTTAGGATTAGGGATCTTGAATTTGACTGATTTTGGGGTCTCTTAGGTTTAAGTTTTGGGCTCTAGATTCGTCTAGAGATTGGGAGAGAACGATCCTCCTCTCGAATAGAGGATCAGTTGTATCTTGTTGTTTTCTTCCGTTAGTTGATTTCTTGCAATAAAATCTATTGTTTTCCCTGATTTTCTTTGGAGTTTGGAAGAGTTTCTCGCTGATTTTCTGAAATTGATAGGATTTACTTGAAATCTTCAAGTGCTTCCTATCATAATCAATTTATATTGCACTCTTTTGTAATGAAGAAGAGAAATAAAATCAGTTGTGATGTTGCATATATTGAAGAAAATATTGATTAGATTAGATCAGATTTGGATGTATGATATATATATATATATATATATATACAAAATCAAGATCTTGGGAAAAAATGAAGAGCAAGAAAAAAGCTAGAATAAGAAACAATAGTAAATGAATACCTCTCATGCCAAATATGTGCATGGCCCGGCTCTAAATTTGTATTGGGATCAATGCAGCACCATTTGTGTGCCCATTTCTCAGTTTGCCCAGAATCATCATAATGCTCCCACCATTTTTCTTGCCATTCATCACCTTTTCCATTCTTACCCCACTTGTCGGCAGTTTTCTCAAAATTAGTAAGGCCACTACTAAGGTCCTGGACAATTCAAATTTTTATTCAAAATTTCTTTGCAGTTTAGTTCTGATGTAGCACAAATAAATACGCCTTAAGGAAAACATAAAATGATACTAAAATCATAATAGATTGTTTGGATGTATATAAGCCAATAATTTTCACCAAAGTAGGAGAGGTAGTAATAAACCTCTTTTTTGTTTTTTTTTTTTGAAGATAGTAATGTACCTCTTTTGGATTGTCATTATTTGAAGTCTAGGTAACAATGAAATGAGGCAATCTTAGCCCAATGACGATGTGCCTGTCTAGTTAGATCTTAGAGAGGTATTATAAACAAACATTAAATGGAAGCATTTACAAGTGCTGAAGACAATAATTTATCTTCAAATATGAGCTCCAATTGTGATTTAGTATGCATAAAATCCTCACCAAAAAGGTAAATTCACTATTTGAAACAAAGGAATACAAATAAATAAACAGAAAATATAATCTAAAAAATGTCAGGTGTCAATTCTGTAACTTTGTCATCATCATTTGCCAAGTACCAACTATTTAAGTTGATTTTATGAATCCTCATTTTCTATAAAATTCAATAAAATATTGCTCGAGAATCGAGATGTTAAACCAAAGCTTCACAAATCATTTTTATTCATTTATATCCCTATCATCTTAGGTAAGCTTCACAAATCATTTTTATTCATTTATATCCCTATCATCTTAGGTCTATCATTTATCCTATAACTATATTTATATCCATCCCATAGGTGCATTTTTTCCTATTCATTGTATAGGTTCAAACCACCAAAGTCTATCTTTAACTATATTATCTTCAATAGACGTCACTCTAATCAACCCATCTAATTTAATCATTCTATAATTTAACTTTCATAGCTTTCTCATTCATTCATCTTAGCATACTCATTTATTTTGTTGGGAAGTAAAATCACTCAATGAAAAATAAACAAGAAAAAAGAAAGCAACGAAAAAGTATACCAGAATTTAACATGGAAAAATCCAAAATCAGGAAAAAACTATGAAGCTACACCACACCAAAAAATTTACTATTAAAATTAGGAGAAATTGTACAAATCTCTCTTCTTACACTATCTTCTTGTTTCTTTTCACTTCACACCCAAATAACTCCTCAAAACAAATAAGAGATGCACTTAAAGTATCCAAAGGATGCAACTCTTCAAGTGAAATAAGAAGAAAAGGGAAGAAAAACTACTCAGCCCGACTAGCAACGCTGTGACGTTGAGAGTAGCACTCCACTCTCTATCTCCAGATTGAGCCTGAAGCACTGCAGTGCTCCAGCATATAGCATTGTGGCCCCATATGACTATACAAACATATATAAATTTTTTTTCCAAGGGCTTCACTCCCAAGCAAGACCGCTCATCGAGCTCCTCGTCCAATACACCCAAAAAAATTGAGATTTGAGTCAACAATACAACCCAATTGATCAACATAATCAAATTCCACACAAAAATAACATATGTCACACTCAAATATAGTTATCAATGATATTGTTGCTACCAACACTCATATCTATGAAATATAATCAACCTAATTGCAATTTTATAAAATTCAACTTCAATTTTCCGTTATATCCTCTTATTGTATAATACTCCTAAGCGATTTCTCCATTTTAACTAGGAAAGTAATGGAGTAGAGCAGAACTGAGTATCATGGATTGGACTTGACTTGATGATTTTGCAAGTTATTCAAGTTCGATTTGAGATTGAGCTGAACATTCACATATATGTTTGTACATGGTTTGTTTAAATTTTGCTATAATCGTACTTGGTTTATAAGTGGATTTCCTAAATTAATTGAACAAGTATCTAAATGAGCTACCAAAAATACAAAAAAAATTTAAAGAGTACTTGACTTCTCGTAAAAAAAAAAAAAATTCAAATCTAAAAGAACAAGTAATTTAATAAATTTGAAATTAGTATCTAATTACCTGATAAAAAAATATAATAAATAAATCACAAGCAAACTTTCCTGTCATTATATAACATAAATAAGCACCAACATACTTGTTCATTGAAATAGAGAAATAATAGAAAGATTGCGTTATAACAACATGCAGGTTCACAAATAAATTATTAATTAGTATTTAAAAACAGAAAGCTAAAAAAATAAATATAAATACTTGTTTGGATAAAAAGCAATATGCAAATTCAATACACTAATGACGAATTAATGAAACTAATAGACAACTAATTAAGTTAATTAAAAATATTAAAAAAGTCATTAATATCTTGAAATTAAACCTTATTGATATTAAATTTGTGCTTGAACATTCTAAAAAACAAACAAACAAACAAACAAACAATGATAAATAAAATTTTAAAAATATAGATTCCAATTAATTATATAATTATGATATTTATATAATTAAGATAGGATAATATACACATATTAATGAAATAAATATATGATTGATAATTAATCCTAAAATGTTATAGATATTAAATTATAATATATTAATATTAAATATGTAACTAAACAAGTTATATTTAACCAGATGTTAATTAAATAATATACAGGTTATCATCTAACTTAATATCAAGCCAATAAGTTATTTTCTGAGCAACATATAAGCTAATTTAGGAATATAAATAAATGAGTTCGACTATGCTTAAGCGCTCATTTAACCTTTGAGTTTTAAAAAAAAATGTACAAACGTTTTTAATTACTAACTCCAACGAACTTGAATAAATATTAATTGAGCTAAGTTCAATTTGTTCATTGAGTGCATTGGTTCACTTAGAACCCTAATTTTAACCACATAGTTTTAACTTGTTTATTCAAGTTGAAACATCCAATTGGTGGCACGAATCCCGAGACAACAACACGAATTTTGAGGAAAATCGGCCTCGTCACTGTCCAAACGATATCCGTTCACGAAAACAGATTTCTCAACTGCGACTAGAATAACGTAGATACCTAATTTTTATGTTCAATTTGGATCATCTGGATTGGTAGCATGAATTTTGAGATAAAACACGCATATCGAGGAGAATTGGCCTCGACATTGCCCAAACGAAGCCCGATCGCAAAATGGACTTCGTCATTGTGTTTGGAACATCGTTAATATTTTAAATGCACTACCGATTTGTTCAATTGAGATTGTGCACACAAATCGAGATGGTTCCAGTGTAAATATTAGTCTTGTTGTTGCTCAAACAACGTCCGATCGTAAAATGGACTGCATCTTTGTGTTCGGAACACTGGCAATACCCTAAATGCACTGCCGATTTGTTCAATTGAGATTGTGCATGCAGATAGAGTCGGTTCCCCTGTAAAAATTAGTCTTGTCGTTGCTCAAACAACGTCCGATCGTGAAACTGATGACGTCATTACGACCGGAACATCAACGATACCCTAAATGCACTATCAATTTGTCCAATTCCGATTATCGACGAAATTGACACATTAAACGAGACAATCGACACGCAAAGCGAGAGAACTCGCAAATCTAGACAATTTTTTTACTCCATTAATGCAGATTTGTCATTCAGAATTAATGCTGAAATGACTATAACACTAATATGGCATTTAACTCAATAAAAACCTTACAAAGGATCAGATGCCAAAACAGGGAAAAGTCAAAATGCCAATTAATGCACTTACCTTGTTTGGTTAAAACCTCACCATTGTCAATCTACTGTCTCGCAAATCTAAAAACACCTCTTCGAAAAGCTTCCATCCCCAAGCTCCCCACGTCAACCTTCCTGCTCGACCGTCCACGTGAAGCTCCTTAGCTGCTGAACCTGAGCCTATATACACATCCAAATCCACACTAGTCTCAGCTCCGAACAGTTGAATCCTTCCAAGTTGGACGTTTACAGCCAGATCCTTCTCTTCTCTGTTTGAAACTCCAAACAAGAAACACCCTCAACAAACCTACAGAGCAATCAAAACATGCAACCTATTATGACAAACCTATTATCTACTCTACACGTCCGACCAAGTCCGCCTCTTTAGCCGTTTGCACCACCGGCTTTCCTCAGAAGTCAGAACCATGAAACCCAACTTAGTTTTAGCGGCGATAGCATTCGACTTGTTGGAGACAAAGCAAGAGAACCATGCAGCTCTCTCAATGATTTCAGTATCAGAAAAGAAGCTAGAGAGGCTAAGAGGAAGCATTCCATGACTCATGCTCAAGTATATTTCTTCCCTACTGAATCTGAAAGGTTCCAGCTCAAAGGAACTGGTTTTCCAATGGTATAAGAAGATGCATTTGCAGCCTTGGGAAAGCTTAAATGTGCGAATTAGATGGCTGGTTCCAGCTAGATATAGATGAACTATGCTGATACCAATCTATATTAGCAAAAGCTTGAAGTGTAACAGTTCAAAGTTTCTACACTCCTGTTCTGTACTCCAAACTTTCTCTTCTTACTAAAATCCATCTTTCTTCTTCTCCGAAGGCAACAAGGTAATCAATGATCAATGAAGTGTTGAGCTCTTGAGCTCATTTCTTTTCAAAAAGAAGTGGACTTGAATCAGAGATCAACCCTAGCTTGAAGCAAACAGAGTTTGAAAAGGAGCTATGCATTGGTTTAAGAAATCTCAAGAACAGTGCCCAACCATTGACAGGAGCTTCAATATAATACCTTGAATGCATTGATGAAGTAATATCAGAAGATAATACTGCTACAACAGCCACTACCACGTTGAATGGAGCTTGTGTTCTCTGGCATGCTGATCCGGCCACAAGGGGTTACAACAGTATTGCCGACCATCATTGCACATGAATTCTATGATGCTCTGTCAATCCATCAATTTCAGAAAATTTTTCAAAGGTGGAATGAAAGGATGATAGACGAGTTAGAAGATTCATCTTTTCACTTTATTATATCCCCACAACCCACTCCTGCATCTCTACTGTATGTGAGAAAATGTTGTGAATAGGCTGACAAAGAAGAAATTGCAAAGATTGAACAGATTGAGCTATTTATGTTGGTGCGCTGCGGAATTTTTTTTTTCTTTTTTTTTTTTAGCAAAAGTGCAAAACACAGCTTGCTTGATCCTAGCAAGGAAATGGCTTATATACCCTTGGACGAAGAGATGAAGGTAAAGGGAAAGCAGCCATTGATGTTGTTTGCAATCCCTTGGGAAAGTCAGGTGGTGCTTTGATTCAACAGTTCATGATATTAGCATTTGGCTCTCTAGCAAATTCTACTTCCTATCTTGGAGGAATACTATTGGTAATTGTTCTTGCTTAGTTGGGTGCTGCCAGAACTTTAGATTCCCAATTCTCTCCATCAGCCAAAATAGAGGGAGAGAGAGAGAGAGAGAGAGAGAGTGAAAAAGGAGGTTTTTGTATCTTTGTAAATTTTGTAATTTGTACATTTGTTACCTCATCGCCGCCGATACCGAAGGTATAATCTCCAAAACTCAAATTTCCCATTCTTGTCATTTGCGGCGAACCGGGGAACCACCTATATGCGTTCTCGTAACACGGTAGGAGGGAGCCCGGTGCAACGCCTATGACGAGGCGGGCAATCACTTAAAATCTCATTCTCGTCGTTTGCAACAGATCGGCAAACCCCCGATACGCGCTCTCGTAGCACGGTGGGAGGAAACCCGGTGCGGTGCTTATGACGAGGCGGGTAATCACTTTAAATCCCATTTTCGGCTTTTGCGACAGATCCGAGAACCACCTATACGCGCTCTCGTAGCACGATATGAGGGAGCCCAGTGCGACGCATACGATAAAATGGGTAAGCCCTATACATGTTCTTGTAGCGTGGTGGGGAGATCCACTTGTGTCCTTCGTACGGTTACTTTTGAAGACCCCATACACGCTCGTGTAGCGTGGTGGGATGAAAGATGTACGGCCCGGTGTCCCCCGACACCTACCATACACGCTCGAGTAGCGTGGTGGGATGACCCAGTTTCCCGTGGTTTTCCCCTAAATGTGAGAGACATCGGGAGGCTGCAGAAATTTTTATTGAATCGTGGACAAGACTTGGACAAAATGTGGGCAATTTGAACTTGAGCTCATATTTGTATTTGAGCAAATAAAAGGACTATAACTCAACTTAAATGATAAATGAACTTACAAATCAAATGAGATGAACAAAATTTGAACATTTGAACAAAGGAAAAGAGGATTTGATTTGGGACTGTAGTGGACATGAACGTAAACTGAACTCAGACTTGAACAAAATTCGGACAATAGGGGACTCTATTTATGCTTGGTTTGAATAATTAAATGGATTAAATAAAAACTTGAATGATTAAATGAAAGATTTGATTCAAGCTTGATTTGTACAATAAAGAGTTGGACTCAAATGTGACATGAATTACAAAAAAATATGAACTTGAATTGAACATAAACCTAACTCAGATTTAAACAAAGCAATGAGACTTGAGCCAAGTGCATGGGAACTCGAAGACATTGAACTTGAACCATACTATATCAAATGGGATTTGACAATGAACTACACTCAATTTGAATTGAATGATCCATCAGAATTCAAGTTGGACAATGACACAAAAATTTTGAAGGAACCATAAAAGATTTGGACTCAGATGAGCAAACTACGTAGAATCAATCTCATGACAACATGAAGCTTAAACCAAGCATGAAGGAGTTTGATATCATGCTCAAAATGAAGTTATGAGTGTTGAGATAGCAACTCTTAATTAAGTGCAAGAGAAGTATATGCAAAACTTATGTTGGATAAAGATCTTACAAATACCCCTCACTCAAGAATGATGATGAAAATTCATGCAATCAATCTACTTGAGATAATTGCAATGATTACGAGTACGTATGGAGGATACAATGACATACTTGCAATCAACGACACAAAGATTTCCAATCAACATTAAGGGGTTCTCAGATGTAGAATGCCACATTCTATGATTTATGTTAACATGAATTCAAATACAATGTATCTTGCAAGAAGCAAAGGACATTAATACACTTGTCTTCTACAACAAGAGACCAAGATGTGATAAATGTAGCAATGCTCCACAACCGGCATAAAGATACAAATGAAGATATCCAACCCCGCAACCAATGAGAATATAAAAGGAATATACAGTCTAGTTGTAGCCAAATATTCAAGGAGCCTGCAACAAGTGCTAAGATACTTATACAATCTATGATAAGGCAGTGGCAAATAGATGCACATGTTTCCTACAAATAGGGGGATTCAACATGCGATGAATTGAAAGACATGACATGTCTTGAATATTTCGAGGAGAATACAACTCTCATGCAATTTATATAGTGCAACAACAGACAAACACACCGGTCATCTACCAACAAAAGCAGATGATACATAGAAAATGCAAATTTTCAAAGATCCGTTGTACACTCAATGTGTTTTCCACCGGCAAAAAAATACAAAATGAACACAAAAAATGCAAGCATCCACGAACCATTGCAGAAGACCCATTGTATACCCAATATGTTATTCTCAAGCAAAATACCAAGTAATTACAAGCTGCTACAACACGCCACCGGATCTGCAACACTTATACAAGCAGACAGAAGGCGTTCAATCTACTACGCGACACCACCGAATCTACAACACTTATACAAGCAGACATAAGGCGTCTACAATCTACTACACAACGCCACTGGATCTGCAACACTTATACAAGCAGACAAAAGGCGTCGACAATCTACTACGCCACGCCACCGGATCCACAACATCTATGCGAGCGGACAGAAGACGTCTACAAATATTTTCAAAATACCCCCACACATGCACTATAGTTTGTATACACATAGGTACACAAATGGGTAAATAAAATCATAAACCCGCATGGGCCCCGACGAGCGTGTTGTACGAATACACGTGACGTCTACGAATACTACACGAGTTAATAAATTTGAACACGATCCTCCTAAGCAAGTAAAAATGAGTCAACAAGGTTCAACAAATAATTATTAAATGTCCCCAAACACCCGTATGAGCCCCAGCGAACGTGTTATTGGTACACGCATGACGCCTAAGAATACTGCGTTGGTCAATAAATTTGAACCCGATCCTCCTAAGTAAATAAGAGTCGACAAGGTTCACAAACACTTTCAAAATGCCCTCTCAAACTTCCATAAATTTAAATATTTTTAAATGATTGCAAACACCCCGATGATGGTCGTGTTGAATGAAAATATCAACTGAAGGAATTAATTTTAAATATTTTAAGTTCCACCTAAAAACTCACAAAATTCAAAGCTCCCAAAAATCCAAAAATCCAAAATTTCAAAAATCCCAAAAACCAATATTTAAAATTAAAATAAATTAATTAACCACTTAAAGTAAAATCCATCCATCATCCACAATAATTTGTCGGGGTGGACAAATCAAAATTTACTTCAGCTCACATAGAGCTAATATCTAGTAAAAAATGTCACTATGATCCATTCTTAAACAATCTCCTGCAAGTAAGGACGTGGTACGTGGCCTCTGACCAACGGTTTTGCTGCCAAATGGCACCACAGGATAAACGGTTATGACCCGGGGCCCTCTGAACCGAGTGGTTTTGCCGCCAAATGGCACCACGAAATACCGGTTATGGTCAGAGCCAATATGTCCCTTAAAGACATCAAATCCTTGAGATATGAATCAACATAATATAATTGCCAGGGCACAAAGCCCTCTGTTAGCTAAGGTCGATTTGAATTTGTCCCCTAAGACAAACATTCAACCTAGGTCTACAAGGTACCCTTGGACGAAGCAACTCATGACTACCGACAAGGATCCTTCTGTCATATTGGGTCGACTACCTCCTCTGACTAAGTAGACCAGGGACCACGATGGCCCGGAATGACGGAACCATGGGATCTTGATCGGGTCTATCATCAATTCCCCCACCATTCGCTTTAAGTGCAAGATGGTGCAATTTCAATTTTAAGTATCAAACCATTCAAATTTTCTAAATACCATTGCTGCTACTATATGCCGGATAACACATATCTCTACGTATCTGATTGACGACTAGCCTTAATCGAAAGTTCTCTCTCGTTACCGTGAGGGGTAATTAACTATAGGGGGCTGTGCCTATAGGAAACCAGAACTCATATTATAAAATCCTCGCAAAATGAGGGCGAAATCTCTGGGTAGTGTCTTATCTACAAACTCATCTGCCTTCCAAAATTTACCCCGAAACTTAGTTCTGTTAAAACTCCCTCACCGAAAGAAAAAAAACAACAGTAGCGGGCGGAGGCTGGGGCCGAATTTTCGGAGCCCACAGTTATCCCCAATAAATATCATTTCTTCCTTAGATATATGTTGTAATAGTTCATCCAACTCTTCTCAAAATTAATTTTTTTATATCATCTTCTCTTGAGGAGGATAAGCTCTAACTAGCTATTATGGCAAAGCAAAAAAGAGAATTCATTCCAACCTTACCATGCACAAATAAGATGACCCTAATCATTTTTCATTATCAACTACTGCCAAAAAAAAAAGAGTCATAATTCATTTGTAGCAGAAACTATGTCGTGGAAGAATGATGAATTAATTTCACCTGCCGCATAAGTTCTCTCCAATATTCACGCCAAACATTTCCATTGGCATCACGTCCAGATTTCTCCGAGCCAAGCTCCTTATAGTCAAATTGATCAGAGGCCTCCCAATATTTGTCCTCCCATTCAACTGTTCCATCTGCACTAACTCCCCGATTCAGTGTCCACTTGCAAACCACTCCATCTACCCTTTGATCCACACCTGACTCCCTCCACCACTTAGAACCATCAAGATTTACTCCATGGGTTGCCCCGTCATTGCTCTTACCAAGGGCTTCTGCGGCCTCTGCTGCATTTCTTGAAAAGACCACCTCAAGCTTCTCTTGATTAGCTTCCATGGCTAAATCAGTGGAAGATTCAGTCTCTGCCTTTTCAACCTCCACAACTGATTGAAGAGGTGGAAGCAGAGGTACGTGTTGGTTCTCAAGTAAAGTACTCTCAAAAGGAAGCGGCAAGATATCAGCAGACAGCTCCATTTCCATGACAGAATAAGATGCATTTGGAGGTGGATTTAATTGTGAGGATGGATGTAAGCTTGTGGCATTATCACTCAATTGACTTCTGTTATCAACTGGGGGAGACCATGACCAAAAATCTGGACCTGGAGTTCCCCTCCCAGAAGTTCCTGTTTCAGAAAAAAAAATGAAATCATGCGTAATAATATTGGTTAAGTTGATGAAAATTCAAGGTGGGAAAATGGAGCTCATCCTGGAAATTAGAACAGTTGATGCAGTGGATGAAAGTAAATAATGTTAATCGATTAAAAGCAATTACGATATGAGAAATCTTATCTTTTCACAGTTTGAAAAAAATTTTGTTAGAGCTCATCTAAATTTATTTATTTGATCAACAATGCAATTCCATCTGCTTTAGATTTCACCGGATATGAGATCATGCTAACACTTCAAGTCCATAACATATTCTATTTGTCATTTTGTCTTCTCGTTTGGGGCAGCTTTCTTACTGCTTCTTAAAATAATTTTCTAGTAAAGCTTTAAGCAGGAAGAAAGCCATCCCAAACGAAGCCTTTATCTTTATCATGCAACCAATTTCCACATTAGAAAGTTTTTGACATATTTATTCTTTATTACCATTTTCAGCTTTGCTGTAAGGTCTTCTTGTATCATTAGCCAAAAAAAAGGGGTTAAATGACAAGCACATTTAAATGTGCAACATTCTATTTATGGGAAGAAGAAGCAAGAACAGCCCTTCCAACATCACCAGATATACTTCTCTCCTTAGGCAGATCTATAGGTGGGATAATAATCATGGTTTCCGCCATGTGAAAATGAAAAAAAGTTATCTTGAATAAAGTGATTAACAAGAAACAAGATTCAAAAGTGTGGATGCCAAAAACTTACACAAAATAAGTACAAAAAAATATTACAAGAATTTTTTATAAAAGAACATAGTTTGAAGAGTTCTGAAGTTAGTTTTATGAAATTTAGAAGCTAAAATTTGGATTGTTTTTCCAACAGGATTCCTAAAATCCCCCAAAAAAAGGGTTTATCAGTTTAGTTAACAATATACCAAAAACACGTCCTATAAACTCACAGGCCTTCATGCACTGTAACGCAGATCAGTTCTTGAAAGCAATTCTAGGATGGTAATTTATCAAATCATGCAATGTAATGGCATCTTCAAAACAAAGAACACTCCACTTATCTAAATATATATTAGATCATATTCTCCAAGGGCAATGCAAGACAAAAGCCATAAACATCCCGAGCCGACCATGAAAAAAAAAAATGTTATCAAGCATCCCCTTAGAGAAGTAGCTAAAATCACCTTGATTCTCAGGAACTGATACTACGATTTCCCTCACCACTTCACGACGACCTAAGCCACCATCGGATTTCGATCCATGTGGCTCATCCGAGGGAAGCTTAGGTGGAGGCGAATCCCTCAGGAAGGCTCGAGCCGCCGAAATGGCGGCAGAAGCGCGGTCGATGACCTGCAAGCGCTGCACGCGATCTCTTTCCTCTTTGGGAACCTCAAGGATCTTGTTGAAGAGCTCCGTCTTCTGCTCCACCGTCTCTTTGTTTTCCACCACCACATGAGGCGGCTCTTTAGAGCCTTCGGCGAGCTTGATGAATTCCTGGGACTTCCGCTCGCGCTCCACCGCCTTCTTCCACATATGGAGGTATGAATCACCGACATCGGAGGAAGGGGGGGAGGAGGCCCTGATGATGGAGCGACTAAACCTCTCTCCGTCAAAACGCCATGGGTGGAACGACATGCAAAAGAAGTTAGGTCGCGCGAAGGCAGTAAAGTGTGCCGACATCTCGTCGTCGCCGACGACGACGGTGATCGAGTGGAGGCGCAGTGAGACTTCCAATAGTGCGAGATTGCGCTTTTGTTTTGGGGGGAGCAGTGTAAAGAAAAAAAAACCTAATTTATTATAGGATCTGAATTTATTTTTTTTAGTTATGAGAAAATTTTAATTTCATAATTTTGTTACTAAGTACTAACCTCTAATTTATTGAATTTATTTATTTTTATTTTAGAAGCATAGTCATGAATTTATAAGAAGACTTTAATTTCATAAGTTCAACTATCACTACTAAATTTATAAATATTTTAGGACATAAAATTATAATAATTAATTAATTATGACAACTAAATTTATCAATTATTTGATATACATTTGCATATTAATTTACTATTTATAAATTTAATCATTTAGGTTGTATTTGAAACAACTAAAACATTTTGTAAATATGATTTTTAAGTTGTTGCAAAAAAATAAATTTTTTTTAAGTTGTTATGGATGTTATAAATATATTTTTCTTTTAAAATTTGAACAATTACTTTCAAAAAACTATCACATATTAATATATTTGATTATAAAAATAATTTCTCAGTATAAAAAATTCTAAAAAATTGTATGAAAATAATAAGCAATACTAGTGGATTCATTCAAACTGGGCTAGGCCCCGTGGTTTTCCCCCTTTTTTCAGGGGTTTTCCACGTAAAAATCTTGGTGTCTCATAAATGCTAGACCCTCTCTCACTTATTTGATTGCGTGCCGGATTTTCGTACAACGCTAAGACGTTAAATCTTATATTTCTCTACCGCCGCGAATACTCCTGAACGCAACAACACTTAATCTATAATGATCAATTATGATTATGATTTATGAATGTATTTTGATTTAAAAGAGAAAATTATTTTCTCATCCATTCACTAAACTTTAGCGTTACCTTTACGATAATAATTATTAAAATACAACGGCAAAACTAATAAATTTATAATAACTATTTTTAAGTTTAAAATTATTGCTCATTTTTTAAATATATTAGTCATATCAAAATAATATATAACTTCTCAGATTTATTTACTTAAATATATTTTGCATTCAAAATTAATATGAATATAAATCCTATTCAATAATAAAAATTATAATTTTTTAGTATATTTATATTTGTACCAATTAAGACATTTTCAATTTTTAAATAATAATGTGAAGCTTTCCTTTATTTAATTAGATAGAAACGTTTATCCATCTTTTACAGTTGCCACGTGCAGCCCGCATGGCCGTTAGTCCCAATGCAAACTGTCACGTGTACTCCATTTCAAAAGGTATATCCAGCTGTGAAGTATTTATAAATTAAAAGATAAAAGGTTGGGGAGCATGGACAAAAATTCAGTGAACCGCTGAAAAGGAAGTACACAGTGAAATAAAACATAATATTTTAAATATTTATAGTTATTTGAATTAGTATAAAATAAATATAGATAATTATTTTTTAATTTAAATTGAAGTAAAATAAATACAATATAAAACTTAATAATAACCATGGTCGATGGCCGACAACAATTATGACTAATGGCGACCTCTAGTGATAACTTAGCCTGGCAAAACCAGAGGCGAGAATGTCATACAATGGCGGCGTTGAGCGAAGATTGCCAGGAACTAGGGTGACAAGCAATAGTGATTTTTCTTAAGCTGCTTTAAGAAACAGTAAAAAACAGTCTCAAACGAAGCCTAAATTTACTTTGAACAACCAAAATCTCCACTCATTTTAAAATAAACCTAATGACAAGCAAATAGGTTATCAAAAACAAGGATTTTACTATATGCAAAGAACTACTTGAAATAAGAATTTTACAGTTGAAATTTGTAAAAGCCACAATAATACAAGCACCACTGTAAGGAAACAGATGATCACTTTTCCTTCAACAACTATATTATTCAGTAGATGAAACTTGAAGCTGAAACAAACGTTTAAGTGAGCGTTAGCTTATGAACTGCATACAATTTCTTTCCCTTTCCTCCCAAAATAATGGTCATGTGAAATATTCAAATTATCTCAACAAGTAAAAAAACACATTGAAGGGATTCAAGTTATATTTGGGAATCTCCATAGAGTTAATAGTTGATTTCTATGCACGCATACACTGAGCCACTAACAGACTTACAGATCAAGAAGTGGTTGGCTGGGCAGGGGCAGCGGTGGTGACTCGCTGAGCAATCCAGCCAAGGCCGTCGTATAGCCCCTCGCCGGTGAGGGCGCAGCAGGCCTGTATGTGCCAGTCATGTTTCTTTATGCTATGGAGCGAAAGGGCATCAGTGATCTCAGCTGGAGACATTGCTTCCTTGAGATCCTGTTTGTTTGCGAAGACGAGCACGACGGAATGCTCGAGGTCATCATGCCGTAGCAGTCGAAAGAGCTCATCCTTCATTATGGAGATTCGTGCCCGGTCCGTGCTGTCGATCACCACGATCACGGCATGAGTGCCTCTGAAGTATGTCGCCCATGAAGTTCTTAGCCTGTCTTGCCCACCGAGATCCCACACCTGGGTTGCAGTAGAGAGAAAATTGATCCAACGAAATGAATATGATAAAGAACTGAGGTTGATAAAGCGTATTCTTCCAATCTCTTGATTCATAAGAACTAAGATATTATCGCAGAATGTACACAGATAGCAGGACAAAAATTACTGGAAGTCAAATACCAAGCCGGCAACAGGAAAGCTAGGTAAGAAATACAAAGATTTTCATAAGAAACTAGAAAGAATTTAGGTATCAACTGACTGTCTATCCATGCTCATTGCTCTATAACCATCATTCTCACAAGCCATAGCCAACAATTTAGTCTCAGCGTTAAGAAAACAATTCCTTATCAAGGATGTCCAATCAATGAAATTGCCGTGGCAAAAAATAGCACTCCTAAAGCAACAAAAGACGAGATTGGGTCTGAGGCCGAGTGGTTGACTAAAGAAATTCCTCCCATCTCACCCGGGCTCAAATCCCCTAACCATCCTAAAAAAAAAAAAGCAAAAAAAGACAAGTGCTATCTTTCATGGTTAAATTTTAGCTAAGGAGACTGACAGTCCCAATGGTTGCATCAATCAACTCAGTGACTTGCAGCCCAAGCTTTTCAATCGGATGGTTCATGCATTTGGATTAGTAAAACCAGGAATGATCAGTCGCTTGCTCAAAACTCATTTCACTCTCAACTTTATACAAACAAAAAGTTCTTCTAAAATATTAGGTAGGTTTACACTACGTAATAATCAACACTCCCTTCAAAAGAAGAGCATATGTATCTATTAAATCTGGCTTGTTACATAAATGAGAAAAAAGTAGGCGCCCTAGAGCTTTGGAAAAAATATCCACCACTTGTTTTGAATTGGAGAAATTATTAGCAATTTACTTGAAACAGACAATATCCCGTATGAAATGACTATCTACTTCAAAATAAGGATTTTAACTATGTAGATGGTGATACAATTGTTGCAATATAAAGTCATGGGGTTTGAGGAACAGGAAACCAAACTAAAGAGTTTTATACCCTATAATTTTGCAAGTAAAATGAGCCATAGATCAATGTTAGCGCTAGATCTAGTTAAAAATAAAATGTTTCTTGCTTTTCTATGTAATTAGATTTTTTTAAACAAAGATGCAATATCCTGAAGTAAACTCATATCTTCAACTGAACTAGCATAGCATCGGAAAATATTTTAATATTGAAATGTCCATCAATGCATGAAACACCAGCATTCACAATTCCATTGGTTGGATATGTTGTTTTTGCGCAACTGTTCAAAAAAGTTGAATCAATTCTGTATGATTTGTAGCGTTGTCAGGGTTGAATTTCATTTCTTCTTGGATTTGAAAGATTAGTACATTCAGCTTTGATACTTTAACAGCAAGGTAAATATAATAATCCCGTACGATAGGTGAATAAACTGAAGCTAATAAATAATAATAATAATAATAATAATAATATGAAGCTAATAATAAAGAACTGGTTAATCGCCATTAAGCTATGGGCAGAACCCTTTCTTCCTATCAGGTGTCTAAACATTCTTGCACCCTCTAAATTGACTTTGCTTAAATGGTTCACTGCAAAAATAATATTTTTCTTAATTAAACTACATTATCATTACCATTCTAAGCTTCTCATTTGCAAATAACTATTACATTCTGCACAAAGAACAATCAAAACTAAAGATGCAGCTGAATAACAATGAACAAGCAAAGTGATCCGTCAGGTATTGAAAACTCATAGGGCCATGAACCCATGACGAAGACAGTCATTGCTAAGACCAGAGTGGGTGAAGTGCACATTAACAAGAATAATAACCGGCATGAGAGTTGTCATTAACCAAAGGAGTCGAGAAACAATGAGTCAGTTGATTCTATTCTCCTTTCATCTTTCAATTGTTAATTAAAGTCTTTTCCATTTCCTGCAACATTTATGTCTTCTATTTAAAAATATAGAAATAAACAAAAGAAAGGAAAAGGGATAGAATAGGAATAAGAGGGAACCAAAGCAGCAGATAGAAAAATCTAAAAATGAATAAATAATAGCATCACAAAAAAGAAGTACAGAAAGTTTCAAAAGAAAACTTAAAAGAAAGATTCGTTTTCAGCAAAATCAATGAGCGGAACACGAAAATTGGGAATAGGAACACCCAAAAATAATTTTTATTGAAAGAACTATGAAGAAAAATGCAAGATACAATTGGATCTTCAATTGGAGAGGGAGATCCGGCTATCCCAAATCCTTAACCGCCGACTAGAGCTCTCTTAACCAAGGTAAACTTCAACAAACATCAAACTAGACATGAAAAATAAAAAAGCTAACCCTAGGGAAAAATATATTAAAATTATCCAATAGCATGACAAATCCTCAAATAGCCTTTTTGCATTTAATATGTTTTCCCTTCCAAATTCTGCATTCCTTCGCACATACCCAACATCCTCACGCCTTTCCCCATACTTTCTAATAGTCTCCTCCCTAAGAATAGGCTCCAAAGAAGCATTCTCTCTTCTCCTTCTAAAATCTCCACTTCCCTATCTTCCCCTCTCCTTATCGGATTAGAGTTTCCCCACTCCTGCTTCTCTTTTAATGGCCAACATTCGACACCATAAAGCATTGCAGGCCTCACCACCATCTTATAGAATTTTCCCTTGAGTTTGAGGGGTACTTTTCCAAATCACACAACAAGCCCGATGCATTCCTCCACTTCAACCATCCAACTTGAATTCTGCTGATAATATCCCCATCTATTTGACCATCACTCGAAAATAGCAAACAAGATGTTAAAAAAAGGTTGAACCTGAGAAAAAATATATTTAAAGAGTCCAATAGCATAACAAATCCCCAAACAGCCCCTGTGCATTTGAATTCTTCCCTCCTAGCAATGATATTAGAAAGACCCATCAATACCCCCTGCCAAAATTGTCCCGTGCATCCTAAACAATTCCCTCCAAAAATGACTAAGGAACACCTTATCTCGGTAGGACACTATCGATTCCAGTATCTCATACAATTTGACCATCTATTTGATGAACGTTGCTACTACTATCACTGTAGTGTACTGATGTTGTAGGGGAATAAAATGAGCATACTTTCCAAATTTGTTCACCACCACCAAAATCATTGTATACCCTTGAACCTGTGTAGCCCGTCAATAAAATCCATCATAATCTCCTCCCACACTCTATCCGGAAGAGCTAGAGGTCGCAGTAATCCTACCGGAGCCATGGCCATGTAATTGCTCCTCTAACATGCCTCGCATCTAGCCGTCATCTCCTCCATATCCTTATGCATCCCCTTCCAATATAACTCTGCCTAAATGACCCCCAACAACGTTCTTGTGGAAATCCTGCAGAAGGTGAGAAATATGGACTGAGATCCGTGGCAACATAAATTTCCCCTGGCATAGCAATCTCTCCCCTCTAGAGTGGCTCGGATGACTACTCTCATCTCTCCGCAGATATACCCTAATCCCCTTCAGCTCCTCATCTTGTACTCTCTCCTCCTTAATAGCCCCCCAATCCAACATCAATGGTACCAAAATGGCCAACACCTGGAGCTCCACCACGTATCTGGATAAGGCATCAGTCGTCTATTTTCTAGCCTTGGCTTATACTAGATCTCAAAATCATATCCCAACAACTTTGACATCCAGATCTGATGTTCTTTGATCACCATCCTCTGCTCTAACATGTACTTCAAGCTCCTCTAATCTGTCCTGATGATGAAATGTCGGCCCAGCAAGTAAGATCATCACTTTTGAATAGCTAACACAATGACCATCCACATCTGTTGCTTTCAGCATAGCCTCAATCTTGGCCTGTTCAACATTCACCCCCTCCTGAAATACCATGTACCCTAAGTACCCCATACTAGGCTTTGAAAAGCAACACTTCATCAAGTTGGCCTGCAGCTGATGCTTCTATAACACCTCCAACACCACCTTCAAGTGCTCCAAATGCTCATCTCCGATCTACTGTATACCAGGATGTCATCAAAGAAAACCAATATAAATTTCCTGAGGTATGTTCGAATATGGTAGGAACAACTTGTCATGAGGGAGTGGAATGTAGCAGGGGCATTGGTGAAACCAAACAGCCTCACCAAGAACTCGAAGTGTCTCTCATGTGTCTTGAATGCAGTCTTTGAGACATCGTTCTCTCTCATCCTGATCTGATGGTATCTAAACTTTAGATCCATCTTCGTGAATATCACTAGTCTATATAGCTTATCCAGCAACTCATCTATCATCAGAATAGGAAATTTGTCTGACCCAATTTCCTTTTTCAGGGCCCAATAGTCCACAAAGAATCTCAAACTCCATTCTTCTTAACCAGTAAATTTGGGCTAAAAAAGGATCACGCTTGCATGATGATCCATTATTCCAGCATCTCCTGAATCAACTTCTAAATCTCATCTTTCTAGATTTTAGGATAGCGGCAAGGCCTGACACCAATCGGTGACACCCCCTCCCTTAAGGTGATTGCTTCTACTCCCTCGGTGATGACAATCCCTCAGTTGAAAGAACACACTGAATTGTTGTATAAGTGAATGTACTGAAAGAGGGATATCTCCCCCCTCCATCAATCTAATTCCCTCTAAGCTTTGTAGCTCCACCAAAAATACTACTCCCACCTCCTGTATGGTCCTCACCATGATTTTGAGATATACCATGGCTTTGGATAACCGTGCATCTCCCTTGATCACCACCCTTCTTTCCACCACCAGGAAGTGGACATGCTTTCAGCAAAATCAATGAGTGAAACACGAAAATTGGGAAGAGGAGCACCCAAAAATTATTTTTATTGAAAAACTATGAAGAGAAATGCAAGATACAATTAGATCTTCAATTGGAGAGGGATATCCGACTATCCCAAATCCCTAACCGCCGGCTAGAGCCTCTTAACCTACATAAACTTCAAAAAATGTCAAACAAAACATGAAAAATAAAAAGCTGAACCTTAAGGAAAAACATATTTAAAGCATCCAATAGCATGACAAATCCTCAAACAGCCTTTTTTGCATTTC